AAGATTATGGTTGCTATTGTTCTACCTCTTAACCACCCATCTTTATTACCTCAGCTTAGCAACATTCAATAAAGTGCAGATGATGAGATATAATAGTCCATTATCTACTGAAATTATTTTCCTGAGAAATGGAACTCAGGAGCCTAACGAGTCTTGGCTCATGACTCTCAATAGAACCATAAAGATAAAATGAACTGAGACTTCAAGGCCTGTCACCTGTAGTGTCGCTCCAGGTAGGGTTGGGCATGTGAGTTGCATTACCCACACTTGGCAAGGGAGTAAAAAATAAAGATTTCTAGGCCTCGTGCAAGACCTACTGAATCATAACCCTTAAAGTGTGGGCCTGAGAATCTATACTTTTAACAAGCACGCTTATCCAGTGATTCTTATGCTCACTAAAGCTTGAGAATCACTGCCATAAAAATTCCTTTGATCAACAACTATGATGTCAATGCCATTTCCAAAACCTGTCTGGAATATCTGAGCCAAACAGAATAAAATTCAGCCACAATTGAGAAAGTAACTTGGAGGTGCTTAGCAGTGTGTCACATGACTCACACTTAACTCGCAAAAATACTTCTTGGGGCACCAACCTCTTTCTATTCAATCATTTTCAAACTTTCACAGAAAATAAAGCCAAAAAAAAAAAAAAAAAAGGGATGCCCACGAGATGTAAGTTATTAAAATTAACTCTCAATAGTCAAATATATGGTGATGAAGGAAATGATACTTTGGATGGTGAGCACACACAATACACAGATGATATATTATAGAACTGTACACTTGAAACTTATATGATGTTATTAACCAATGTCACCCCAATAAATTTAATTTTAAAAACTCTCAATAAACAAATTTTTTAACATGCCTTCCATTTTTCTTATGGTTTAACTTTAACCAGGGAAAGCTGATGGGCATATTATCCCATAGCTATCAAAGAGGAAGGCACATACTCTGGATCATGACTTTTAATGCGAGCCAACCTTAGGAGTCCAGGCTTACTAAAGACCACACTACCCAAATACCAAAGAGACAAAACAAACTAGCCAACAGACAAACCTAATCCCTAAAAACTATAGATGGTACCACATCCAAATCCACAGCATGCTGAAACCCTCCCGAGAGTATCTCTCAGGAAATCAATCAGGAGCCCTTGGAACTATTTTAACCTTAAGAAAATTAACCTGAAATCAAATGTTACTTCACATACTATATAATTAGTGCAAAGATATACTTATTTTGGTTCCATTTGTTGAAAGCATCCTTCACTCATTAGCCTCCGGGTATATACACATCAAAGTGAAGACACTCGATATACGTTACAAGGGGGAAAATTACAAGGTGAAGGACTAACATTCCAACTGCAGTAAAATGTAGAGCCCAGAGGGCTTGTTCATACTCCAGTACCAAGCCCTGCAATATGCCTCTTTCCCAAAGCAGTTAGAATCTAGTCAGTTCTGAAGGGAGAAAGGACAAACTGAACCATAGTGAATTTACTTGAATGGCTGTTCCAAGATTCAGTGAGGATGGGCGGGGCCTCGGTAAACAGACTTTAAAAGAAATTGATGCTCTTCCTTTTGCCCAAGTTTGCATTCCCTTAAATCTCAGTTACTCTGTTCTTTCACACCTCTACCAGTTGTCCAAATAACTGCAATATGTGAGAACTGGAATAAATTGTGCATTGGAGGAAAGCATCGAAAATTAGTCTTAGTTCAACAGCAATTATCAAAGTCCAGACATCTACCTATGACTTCATACAAATTACATCTACATAATGATAATCTACCTATGCCTAACCCTGATGCTGCTTGGCACTTCATCAACTTGCAATGCTTTGCTGGGACAAGAGAGGTTAACTTAAGGCTCTTAGCTGAGAGACAGAAAAAAGCTCTGAGAAATGTTCCTAAAAAATACTTTAGAAAACTATCATCAGCCTAACTAAGATCAAAACAAGCGGCAGACACAGGTATCCCTCAAGAATCATGTCTGTTTGGTTGCTGATTTCCTCCTCTCACTTGAAAACCTAAGGAAAGGATGCAGACTTTGGAAGAAGGCAAGGAAAGAGAAAGAAATTATATAGTTGACACTTAAACATGGGGGTTCGGGGAACCGACCCTTCCCCAGCAGTCGAAACTCCATGTATATAACTTCTGACTCCCCCAAAATTTAAGTTTCTCCTCAGTATTCTCCAGGGATTGGTTCCAGGCCCCCACCCCCACAAAGGATGCTCAAGTCCCCTGTAGAAAATGGTGTAGATCAATGCATACAGCTGGGCCTCCGCATTTGTGGACTCCCAACCGCGGACTGAGAACAGTACAGGTATTTACTGAAAAAAATCCACATATGTGGACCCACGCAGTTTGAACCCGTATTGTTCAAGGGTCAACTGAAGTTGAGGTCTCAGAGAATTTACCAACTAGCTCAGCTCTGTGTTGCAACTCGATTTCCACTGTAGCAGCGGAGAAGCTTCAAAGAATTTGGAAATCAAAATACAGTTGGAAGGTGAGAAATCTATGCCAGGAGGATGTCTGAGCATCACAATCTTCCAGAGAAAGGTTCTCTAACCTAAGAGTGTTCTTTTGCCCCGCCTGCTAGAAGAGACAGAGTTCTCTACTCACCACCAAGGATGTGCCAAAATGCAATGTCTTTTTTCTAGGAGGAGGAATGAACTTAGTGGAACCTGGGCCTGAGGTAAGCCCTTCTACCTGCCCTAGGGGGTCATCCGAGGTCTCTAAAGAGTATCTAGTTCCCATCTGGACTCTGCTGCAAAAACCATAACAAAGGCAACAAGACACCATCTATGTTAGTTGGTATATATATATATGTATATACATATATATATATGTATATACATATATATATGTATATATATATGTGTATATATGTATATATTTGAAATGGTCAGTCACTTTAGCTGTAGTCGTCTACAGAATCATTTTAGTTTAGTTCTTTTAGCTCCTGTAAGGAGTAAATTATTTAGAGCTTTATGATAAATTTATAATTTTAAATACTTTAGTTTTAAATTTAAAAATAAACAGCTGGGTCCAAAGTAAACTTCCAAAGGGAAAGAAAAATGACAATTCCAAGAGCTTCTATTGGAAGGAAACAACCAGGCACAGATTTTGAGTTATCTAGAAAGAAAAGAATTAGGTGCCCAGATACAAAGGTCACTATTGCATTCTATTCATATATCTCAATGCCCTTACCCTCAAAAGATTAAGACTATATTGCTAGAGAATACTAGGAAACAGTGTGTAGGACGTTAACAGAGGGAAAAAAGCATCTATTTACAGGAAGGACAGAAAAAGTTACAGTAATAGCTCCAAACACTTGCTTGGATGAGGTACTCTTTCTTGAGATGCAAGAGTTTCGAGATAGAACCAGTGAATACCACAGAGTAAGAATGTCAAGGAGAAGGGCAGGGGCATAAGGTACATAAGAAGGGATGGACTCCTCTATACCCACACCTTCACGACCCTATCCCCTTTGAAGTCCTGAGCAAGCCTAATGTTTTACTAGAGGAACGCCTGAAGGTTGTGGAAATTATAATTAAAATAACGTTTATAAAAATATGAGAAGGACTTCGTGCGAGCAAATCCAAGCACCGAGGGAAAGGGCAAAAGTGTGAAAAAAGAATATACAAGATAGAGTAAGAAGGAGCGAGGCACAGCACTGAAGACTGCCGACGCTGGAGATAATGCCAGCATACACCACCTACCAGTCAGCCAGCAATCACTACATCAATGTTAATACAACGTACAAAAACCCCACACATGTAGCACCTGGGCCGGAGTAGTGGAGGAGGTCTGCACAGAAATCGCGAGACAAGGCAGCATCCTGCGCGAGCTTTAAGGGACGCAGTGGGGAAGGAAGGATGAAGGAGCGTAAAGGGGGAGGGGCTGCAGAAGGGAAGAGGATGGGTTGCAGCAGCAGAAGGGGCCTAAAAAGAGGAGGGGAAAGCAACCCGGCGACGAGAAAGAACAGGATAAAGTCAAGCGTGGGATCGCCAGAGGATAGAGTAGGAGAGCGAATGGAAACAGCATGCCCTGAAAAAGTGGGGAGGTGAAGGACCCAAAAGGGGGCTGTAATTGTAGACTACAACAAAAGTGTGAGTACGTGCAGGAGTCAGAACAAGGATGCTCTCGGAGGGATGTGGTGATGGAGACGCTAGATTCAAAATCATGGTGTAGGGCGAGGACTACTGGGAAGAGAACTACAGTATCAGAGACCCCACCACCAGCACCACCGAAATTAAAAAATAAATAAATGGAAGGCATGCAAGGGTCAGAAAAGAAGGTGTACTCGGAGAATGACTACAAAAACGAAGGAGGAAAGGCACAGGCGGAAGGACAGAAAAATATATAGCGGGTGCTTACCCATAAGGAGAGGGTAAGTAAGGAAAGAAAACGGAGAGCAGCGTGGAGGGCTGGTGCTTCCGGAAGAAAAGTGGGAGCAGACCAGGGGTCTTGCCTACTCGGGCTAGAGGGCCGGAGGGACGGTCCACGGGGGCTGGAGGGAGTGGTGGGGAACTAGAAACTACGATGCCCACGATGAGAACTTGGGGAGGACACACACACACACACACACACACACACACACACACACACACACACAGAGTGGCTGGCTCGGAGGAGATGCTGTCAGTGAGGAGCAGAGCAGGGTCATCATGGCAAAGCGAGGGGCGGCGAGGAGCAAGCAGCATGCCAAAGGGGCAGAAAAGCAGCCGGAGGAATGGGGGCGGGGGTCACGGCGGTAGGGGCGCAGGGACAGAAACGGGAGGTTGCAGGGAGGGAGGTGGGAGTCGCAGAAACCCCGGGTGTGGGAGTTAAAAAGGGTTTCCCCCCCCCCAGGAGATGCGGGGCCTGAGGGGGCGGGGGTCCCCGGGGCCATTCGGGGTCGGGGGGAAGGTGCGGCCTGGGGGTGACAGGGGGAGAGGGGAGATGCAAAGACAGGCGGAGGGGATGGGGCGGGGTGGGGCGGCGGGCAGCCCCGATACTCACACCTCCAGAATGCGGTCCCCCTTGCGCACCCCGGCACGATCGGCCGCCCCCCCGGGCAGCACCGCGCTCACATGCTGCAGCGGCGCGTACAGCTCCCCGTTGATGCTCCGCAGCTGCCCGCCCTCGCTCACTTGGCCCCGCACGTTGAAGCCGTAGCCGGACTCGGACTTGACGATGCGCACGACCCGCGGGCCGGCGCCTCCGCCGCCGCCGTTCCCGGCGCAGTGGAGCCCAGACCCCCCACCGCCGCCACCACCTCCGTTCCTGTGAGGGGCTGAGGGGTGAATCCCTTCCCCGTCCTCGTCCGCCATCTTGCGAGCAAACGAGCCGTATCCCCGCCCCCCTACGCCTCCACTCCCTCCCGGCGCGCGCTCGCCCTTCTCAGCAGCCGCGCGACCCCCTGCGCGCGCGCCCGCTCCGCCGACCGCGGGACCAGAGTGGGCCAAGGAGCTGCCGGCTTAGGTAAAGGGGAGGCAGGGGGCGGGGGAAAGTGGACGGTTGGGCGCCGTAGAGCCTCCTGGGAGATGTAGTTTCTGGAACGTGGGGGCGGGGCGGGGGCTGGGCCGGGCCGGGCCGGATCTGAGGTCATATGACGCAATTCGGGAGCAATGCCTGCTGGGAGTTGCAGTTTGCCTTTCATCCTTTTAGGAATTTTATCTGTTCGGCGGTTGAGAGCGTGATGGACTGACTCACGTGTTGACTTGGGGCAAGTTTTTTTTCCTTCTTTCGTTTCATAGACCCCCAAAATAATAGTATTAGGACACATGGACGTTTGTGATTCAACACAGTCTTAAATTGTAGCAACTCATTTGCTCAATACCTTATATATTCACATACATTATTTTATTTTATGGCCCCAACAACCTCGGGAGACTACTGGATCATGATTTAGTTTCTCTATTTCACATATTAGGAAACTGAACCTTAGAGTTCTCAAAGCCATCCAGCTATTAAGTAACAGGAACTAAGGCGCAGTTATTTTTGTGCAACTCTCTTTTGACGTATTGCAACTACATAAAAACTCTGCCCCAACTGTACAAAAAGCATATATACAGGAAACTATGGCCTCACTGGTTTAGAACTGGATATTAGAGTGGCCAAGTAATTTCAATTGAGTGATGATTTTGAAGTTACCTTTATTTCTAATTCATTTTGTTTCCCCCAACAGCACAGTAGTATAACTTGCAAATGGCAGTAATGGATGTTTTTTAGCTACCTACCGAGACCCAAACTGACAGATACTATACAGAATGCCTGGCAAAAGCGAGTAAGAAGAGCAAGAGCAAAAATAATGTAAATATCTTAAGCACTTAATACTCAGGTCTGGTATTTGATTTTACCTACTGGCAAGCGAATTAGCCTGTTACTGTTTCATGGATGCTGATAAGAGACACAAGATTCCTGAGTCAGAGACAAAGGACTATGACGACACCTGGAAGCAACATGAGCTTCAGCATGTTTGTGTCAATTCCTCTTGCCCCACACGTCTCACGGGGGTGACACGAAGGGCTTAGATGACTACTATGCACTGGGTGGATTTACATCATGGCTGAGAAACACTGAGCTTGGGGAACCCGCCATTTTATAGGAAGCAATAAACAAACCTGTTCTTTGTCCTGGAAGGAAGCTTTACTTCATCACTCAGAGTTGCTTGCTATAAACACAAGCCTGAGGAATGACCCTGGTGAAGAGCAGTCAGGGCCTTGCATTCTTGGTACCCAGGAAGCTGGGTAGAAACATGAAAGACCCACAAAGGACTGTCTCTCCACATTACTATGTGCCAAACACTGTTCTAAGCATTTTACATCTATAATCTCATTTAATCCTCACAAACCAATAATGTCCCTATTTTATAGATGGACAGGCATAGAGAGGTCACAGAGCTAATAAGCAATGAGTCCAGAAACAACAGGGATACAGAGTTAAAAGGCAGTAAAAGTTTAGTTGCTGAGGTGTGATGACTTATAAAAGCAACAAACAACCCCCTGAAAGAATCCATGGACTACGTAACGGTGTCCAAGGAATTGTTCAAGGGGAAAAAAAATAAACAAAAATGGCAGAATAATTAAGGCATCTCACGAAATGTGGGATGAAGACTCAAAGCTATTATATCAGAACATAAAAATTAATGTGATCTTATTTTATAACCACGCTCATGAAGGGCTTCGATTAGTTAACAACTATGGAAATTGATAAAAGTTAGAATAAGAATTTTGCTCCAAAATAATGGCATTTGGATTGAACATGAATTGTTTGGTTTGAGCTGAGCGTGGGATGGGAAAGAACTTATCCACTAGGGCAAGGCATCAGAGAAAGGAAAAAGGGAGCTTCCACTGAAAGAGCTAATTTTTTTTTCATTTGTTTATTTGATAAAAATGTATTGAATGCCTGCTCTGTTCTAGGCTCTGTAGTGGTGGCTAGGGATACAAAGATAAATAATATATCTACAAACTCCATGATGGGCAATATGACGTGGTCAAATGTACAAATGCACATACTCCTTGAACTGGCAGTTCCGTTTCTGGTTCATTGTACTGTCACACTTGCACATGCGTGAAATGACATGTTTGTGAAGTTAGTCATTGCAGTGTTGTTTGTGTTCACAATGTTCCTTATTTAAATCAATGTTCATTGATTAAATTATGATGTATCCACAATGGAAACCCAAATAACTGTAAATAAAGAATAAGGAAGCCCTTTATTTACTGAAATGGAATGATCTCAAAGATACTGCACATAATTAAGTGAAAACAAGAGACAGCACAGTCTATAGAACATGAAAGGGGAAGCATAAATATAGTTATCTCTCTAGAGGTATTCACAAGAAACTCATAACTTTACCTCTGGGGTAGGGGACTGGACAGCAGACGTGGGGACAGGGGTAGAAGGGAGACTTTTGTAATTTCTGAATTTTTTGGACAGGTGAATGTGTTGCCTATTCAAAAAATAAAATACATAAAGTATTTAGAAAGGACCCTATTGGGAGGAAAGATGATCAGAGCATCAAAATAAGAAAAGAAAATAAGACACCATTACTGCTCTTGAGAACTCATAATCTAGCAAGAGTCAGCAAAAGAAAAAACAATTACAGCATAGGCCTTGGCACTCCGGAGTAATGAGAGCTGTGCTGGAGGCCTGCACAAGCTGAAAAGGGGAACGGTGTATTCACACAGAGATTTGGAAGAACTGGTACAGTGTGAAAACAGCAGTTCAGTCAGACTGGAACTGTGGGGACCAGAGGAAGTGGACAGGGGAGGGGACAGGGAGGTGGGCAAGATTCAGACCTAGGAGGTCTTCAGGCACTGGATATCATGCCCAGGAGTTTGAATTTCATCCCTAAGTGTTTAGGGGCCTCTGAATGCTTTTAAGCAGAGCAGCAGTATTGTTAAAATTTGTGCTTCAGAAAGTTCACTCCGCAGGAAGTATGGAGAACAAAATGAGATAGATCAGGTAAGAAGCAATTGCAGTGCCTCAGGAGAGAAAAGATGAGATTCAGACTAGGGCAGTGGTGATGGGAGGGGATTCCCTGCAGAGAAAGGACTTGGTGACCGCTTGGATCTCAGGAGCAAGGGTGCAGAGGAAAGAATGATGTAAGATTCCTGACTTGGTGGTGTGATTCCCCAAGACCAGGCATGAAGAGGAAGAGGAAGAGGTTTGTGGAGAAGATAATGAGTTCAGTTTGGGGTATTCGGATTTGAGGGGCCTGCAGAGAATCCAAGAGGAATTGATCAAAAATTGGTTGGACATGGGAGTCTGCCATTGGGGAAAGGGATCTGGGCCCGGCACAGATTTGGGAGGTGTGGGCCCTGAGTGGTAGGTGGTGGTGGATGAAACTCCAATGCAGAGCGTGTAGTGAGTTGAGAGGAGTGCCAAGGCTAGAACCCAGAGGGTGCTCCCCTCCCCCATTTGGGAGACTTTAAGAGGAAGGGGATCAAGTGAAAGACTGAGAGAAATCAAAGAGCCGGGAGGTCTTACAAAGAGACGAAGCTGCTTTTGGAAATAGGACCTGGACTGTTTGCAAAGCCCTTCCCATTCAAGAACTATTTCGTCTTCACAATAACAATATAAATAGAAGCGTTCTCAAGAAACTAGACTCCAATAACCAGCAGGCCCCAATCACATGGCTAGTTAATAGCAGAGCTGAACCTTGAACCCAAATTTTCTGATACCAAGGCCAGGACTCCACTACCCAGCTTCCTTTTAGTTAAAGTAAAAGAAGTTCCTCCTACCTTTTGTGATGCACAAAGTCAGCAGATTTCCATCAGCTTTTCGTGTAGGAATTACGTAGGTGAGAATCCCACCTCCGCACTTTTGCTCCGATGTCCTTTGGTCCCAGGTGTCTTGCCTCTTCTTGTTCCCTCTTTGCAGGTCTAAAATCTACTCCTCCTCCAAGCTCTTGCGTAAAGTCCCTCCATAAAGCCTCCCCCGAGGACTCCAGTTCACTCTGACATCTCTCTTTTCTAAATTCCTTGGGCAAATCCACCTTCCAGTGACACCCTGTCCCCCAAATGTGTCACACACGTGTGTAATCCCCTCCCGCTGAGTGTGAGCAAGGCCTGGGACTTGCTTCTAGGCCCCAGAATATGACAAAGGTGACGCTGTGTCACTCCCCTGATTAGTTATGTTCCATAACACTCCTTAGCTGACTGGAGCAGGAGGGTCTCCTGTTGGTCTGTTGTGAACTGCCTGTGGAGCCTCTGGGAACTGAGAGTTGTCCCCAGCTGACAGCAAGAAAATAGGGCCCTCGGTCCTCCACCGGCAGACATTCTGTCAACCACTACCTGAGCCTGGGGGAAGATCCTGGGATCCTACAAGGAACACAGCCGGCCATCACTTGATTCTGCACAGGACCCAGCTACGCAGAGCCCAGAACCCTGACCCACAGACCTATGAAATCATCAACGGGTGTTAAGTTGCTAAATTTGTGGTACTTTGTTAGATGGCAATAGATATTGCATTTATGATCAGTGCCGCTCAGTTTTGACCCTAACACTTTAATATCTAGTTTAGCTTTCTTTTTCCAATCGGAACATAAGCTTCTTGAAAACAAGGAACTGGTCACATGTGACTTGTGTCCTCGGAGTGTATGATAGGCACAAGAGAAGGAGCTCAACAAATGTTGATGGAATGTTAGTCCATGAAAGGACCATCAAGTGGCTAATGACACCGGCTGTCTAGGGATGAGATGGGGATCGAGTGAATAATATGTGGAAAAGCACCTAACATAATGCTTAACACGTAGGTTTTATTAATAACATTTATTAAATAAACATCACACCTAGATCCATTTCCTCATTATGCTGATAAAGAAATGGCTCCCTCCACACTACTCTCCAAAAAGATAAACAGGCCCAGCAAAGAACAACAACATATCAAAGGTCACTCAGCAAATCCGTGGCCAGAACTCAACCCTAAGAAGAAAAATTAAGTGGCTTAAGTGAGGTAACAAGGCATGCCATCACCTGAGGATTCAGGGGTTGAAGAAAA